AGTGATGAAAGATCAAGGGAGGGAAGGACTACGGGATTGGAGTCTGGAAGGGGAGGGAAAGCTGAAACTGGGAGCGAAGAGGTAAAGGGGGAGAGGAGAGGGAGATGCAGGAGCGAAGGGAATGGCACAGGAAGATTGGTCGAAGGGGGATATGGCAGAGGGAGATGTGACAAGGGAAACAACGGGTGAAGGCGGGAGGGGAGCAGGAACAGAAGGAACGATAGTGAGAGGAACAAGAGGGGTGACAGGGGAGGCAATGGGTGAAGGTGAAAGGGGAGCTGGAATAGAAGGAATGACAGAGGGACGTGGGAGAGGGGTGATATCAGAAGAAGTGATAGAGGAAGGTAGAAGAGGGACGGGATCAGAAGTGACAGGAGAAGGTGGAAGAGAGATGGCACCCGAGGGAAGTGGGAGAGGGGCTGGGATAGTGGGAACGAAGGTAGGAGGTGGGAACAATAGGAATGACAGAGGGAGGTGGTAGATTGACGGGAACAGTAGGAGTGACAGAGGGAGGTGGGAATGGGGCGGGAGCAGAGGGAGGTGGAAGAGGGACGGGATAGTATCAAAATCCGTTCGCCCAAAGGACGGGGTACAGAGGGGTGGGGACAGAGGAGCCTACGCCAATTGGAGGTGACGACTGGGTAGTGGCTGGGGAGGCGGAGACAGATTCTTTCACATTGTGTTGGGCGCCATCATAGGGCGGTGGCTGGAGAACATCAAGAGATGAATCATCATTACAAACATTTTTGTGATATACATAAATCGAATGTCCTCCAAAATCTAGTTCTTCCTCTAACCAACCCTCCTGCTTGAGTCCTCTTGCCATCCGATACCAAGCCTCCACGGCTTTTGTTAACCCATTATCCAACAATAAGCCACGGATCTGTGCAGGCGAGCGTGGGTAACTAACACAGCTCTGGGTAAAAAGTACAGAAGAGGTAGAGAATGAAGGAAAAGGTGAACGTGGAGAGACTAATCAGAAGACATTTACAAGAGTCACAGATGTAGAGATGTGCACATAATACGGAATCAAGGAGGAGCCAAACAACACACACACACAGCGAGGGTACCCACACTGTGGCCATGATTGAATAAAAACCATAATATAATAAAGAACAATACAACAACGAGCATAGTAACAACTAAACAGTAAATAAAACCCTGTTCAGCTCTTAACAGTACAACAAAATTCCCAGCCTTTCTCTAGACGGTTCCCAGCCCTTCACCAGGCGGATGCGTTCCCTGCCCGCTAGGCAGTCAAGCTATAATAAATTCCCAGCCCTTCACCGGGCGGATGCATACCCTGCCCGCTAGGCAGTCAAGCTATAATAAATTCCCAGCCCTTCACCGGGCGGATGCGTTCCCTGCCCGCTAGGCAGTCAAGCTATAATAAATTCCCAGCCCTTCACCAGGCGGATGTGTTCCCTGCCCGCTAGGCAGTCAAGCTATAATAATAAAACATAAACCACACACCAGCTGTCTCACATACACACACACACTCAGGAGGCAGATAGACTATCGACAGGTTCATTTTAAAAGGCACCGAATAAGAGATTACCTGTCTTGTAGCCTTCTGGAAGCCTGAAGTGGACACGGAGACAGACCGACAGAAAATAGGAGAATACAGGCAAACCACTGTATTTAGGAGGTGATCAGGCTTCGGTTGTCCCACTTTCCGGAGGTCTGCTTCGTCCCGATTTCCGGCCGTCCGAACCAGCGAAACCCAGTACCCCACGTTGGGCGCCAAATGATGTGGAGTCAATCAATTAATTGATTATCTTGCGTATCTGCCCCTGGCCAAATTTAAAAAGATGCATGCACGCTCCTGAAGTAATTCACACCAGACACAGGTTTCGGATTAATGAAAAACTTGAGGAATGTTTATTCTGGGGGGACGGCATGCCCCTTATAAAGCAAAATTACATCATATGCATTGTCAGAGATAACATGGAATAATACATCTATAATTGGTTAGGTGTTAAGTGGTTCATTTATTGCTCTTCCTACCGGGTGTGATGTCACTGGTATCTTGGAGGTCTCCCCCAGATTCCAGCGCCATCTTGTTAATGAGGGTGTTAGGCGATGTCAAAGGGAAACTCCCTAGCGGCCATTTTAGGTAAATCACATATAAGGTTGAATAATGCTGATTGTGGTTATGCTGAGTAAATAGGCATTTTATTAATATGAATTGGGTTAATATTTTTGTCCGCAACAGTATGGCCATCAAGGGCAAAGCAATAATAAAAATGTGTCAACACTTCATACAAAACATTTTCTACAATAAGATTTATTTTAGCGGCATTACATTAAGTGCATTTTGCCCCATACATTTGAAAATATTTCTAATATGAGTAAGAATTATTGTAGGAGGCATTAACATTGTGACTTCAGAATAACTCATCCAACAGTGCTATTCAGGACGTCAATATTTTCTACAACATTCATCAAGGCCAAATAATTATCTTTTCAGCTTGCTATATTATGGCTTACTACATTTTCTACAAAGATATTTCTTCTGCATCTAATAGTATGAAAATAGCATGAAAATCACTTTGTGGATGCTCAACAACATATTCGTTTAAAAAGAAGACTCAACAGATCTGAGTAGTTGAAATATTTTTAATGTAGCCCTGAATTTAAAACATAGATGCTTGATGTGCTTTACATAACGTTTCTTTTATTTTTTCCTAGCTATAAAAATGCATTTTAACAGCCCGAAGCACTTTGCATTGTGCAGTATCTCAGAAAATAAATGTATTTCGCACAGAAATAAAGTTTACAACTGTTTAAGGCATATGAGCCGGCTTGTTGCAAGAAAGAAATTATTCAGTGAGAAATGTCAAAAATATTACAATTTCAAATACATTCTGTTATAGGCTTAGAGTGCAACACCATAAATAATTCACAAAATAACCAGCTATAAATGCAATATTTATGACCATTTTCCACTGAGAAATAATCAGACTCTTTTTCTATAATGTCAACACATTTTTCTAAGGGAATTTATGTTCATTTTATGTACGCTTGACAATGAAAAATGAAATGTTTATTTTGGCATATCGTGAATTGCATGTGAAAATTGTCAAGACAATGACAATTTAACTACTGGGATATCTAAGCCAGGACGTGTCTGATCATTCAATCATTAAATCTAAGCAATCAATACAAAACAGTACATCAGCTGTTGTATTGAAACATTAATTAATATGTGGGACATTTTCTATAGGGCATCAGAGGCAAGCATTTCTAAAGTGGACTCATCATACTCTTAGCATGGGAATCTAAAATGTCATGAGCACTCATGCCTGCTATTTATGTTTGGTTTCCTACAGTGTCGTAAAGGATGTATTATCTAGAACCAACAACAAGCACACTTTCCTGGAGAGATAGAAAGAAGCCTAATGTAACTTAAGGTGTTTTTTATTTGTGTCGCTAACATCTGTTCCAAAATCAATAGATCTTTGGACATTACGTGTGTGTAACGAGAATATACCCCAACACGCAGGATTCAGCTAAACAGAAGACAACACAGAGGAGAGATACGTCTACCGGACCTTAGAATGGCCGGACTCGACGTATATGAGAGGAGGCAGAGTCAGGAACGATCCGAAGTCAAGGACACAGAGAGACAGCGTAAACTAGGACTAGCCGGGGTCTGGTACACAGTAAACAGGAAGCCGACAACCAGAACAGATAAGGATAAAGAGAAAACGTAGTCAGAAACAAAGCCAAAGTCAATACAGAGAAAACACAACTGAACACAACAAGCGCTAAAGGGAATTGAAACAGAAACCACGATAGGGCAGGGAGTAAAGGGAGAGGTAAGTTTAAATAGCTTATAAACTAATGTGATTGGCTCCTGTCATATCCACACCCCCAAAAGGTAAGTGTATGGGGAGTGTGGCATGACAGGGGCCAATGGGAGCCTTTTAACAATTTAGGCTCCCACTGTCTCTTTAAGAGCGAGCCCGAGACTCGCGGCGCGCTCTTAGATTCAGGCGGGACACGTGACCACTTCTCACGGTCACTGCCCGCCTTCCTAGTGAAGCCGTCGGATGACCGTGAGCAGGACCGCGCGCGGCTTGAAGAGAGGACCGTGGCCGGCCCCTGGATAAGGTAAGTAATGCTACAGTGTGTCTTTTGAGATAATGAATAATGTCACTTCAAAACAAGAACAACCGTTGAGTAAATGCTTTAATATCAGGTGTATGGAAAGATTAAAATGTTCCATTAAATGAGTTAAGAAATACAATCTTACCAGTTTGATTAAATACATACAGGATCACATTCTAAACTGAGGATATGTTTTCTAGAAGCTTATGTTATTTAGACAAACATGTAAATTTTATTAAGATACGGAGGCTCCTATTATACTGCACTCTTACTTTATTTCCCTCAGCAGCAAATAATTTTTTTTATAAACATAACCAGTAAATAACAGTAATAGTCTGAGCTGTATTCTTCCCAGCAACAGGAACAGCCAATCAGGCTCCACTCCTCCAGCATAATAGGCTCTGACAACCAATCCGTTTCCTCTTTCTTTGCTGCTCCCTCAGTTAAGTATATCTGATCCCTCAGTCTCCTTAACTGTGGGATTACTGTTTTCTTGTGATAGTTTTTACTACTAGTACTATTATTAATATTATTATTGTTAATATTATTATATTATTACTGTTATGCTTCTCATCATTGTGATATGTGTGTAGTATTATATTATTTCAATTATCATTGACTGCTTCTGATTAGCTTCCTTTTGTATTCATTCTTATTTTGCTCATTGCATGTTCCACTATTTTACCCCCCTTTGAGTCTCCCTAGCCCAGCCTGACCCCCTGAGCCTAATTCTACCGGGCTTGGAGACGTCATCTGGAGCCGCGGATATCCTGTCACGGCGCTTCACACTTTTTTCCCTTACCGCCGTAAATGTCCCCCACCCACAGAGCACAGAAACCGGTACTGGTACGACCGTCTTTCTTCTTGCGGTTCACGAATGTGTAAGCATGTCACACAGCTCCACCCCCAACGACCGGGCAAAATCGTCTAGGTTATGGAAAAGGGCAAAATCCCAACTAGACTCTGAGTCGGATCTCAGCGAGATTGAAGAAGAGACCTGTATGGATACGGAAGATCCATCAGATCCCGAATCAGATAACCTGGCCAAAGACAATGATCCCCGAGAGCGCAATACACCTCAATCTGACCCGTGTGACATGGAGTTTAAGGCCCCAGACGCTGCAAATAAACTCTTAGACCCCTATGGGGAACCTCAGTTCGACCCCTATGACCTGTGTCATCCAAGGTCAGCGGAAATTTCCCCTTCGGTCCATGTGGCCAATTACATAGCATCAAGAATTTGCAAGCCTTTAAATAAGGCGATGCGTAATAAGCTCCGGGCAGAATGCCCACACCCCACTATTCCAGATGATGCCTGCAGAACACCTGCAGTGGACCCAAAAATCACCAAATTCCTGAGCAAGACAGGTTGAAAGCTTAATAAAGGCCAAGATCTCTCCCTGTGCAACTGCCAGGATAAGATATTAGATATATTGGGCCCAACAACCAAGATATTTGATATGGTCGAAAACAACCAAGAGTTGGATCATACCGCCATAAGTGGCTGGATACAATGAGTGATTTGTTTGATTGGCAATGCCAACTGTGCGATGGCCACAGAACGTCGCAAAGCAATATTATTGAAAATAGAAAGTTAGTGTACATGGCTCAAAACGAGCCAGGCACCAAGTCCAAAGGTCTCCTGTTCGGGGACAATTTTGTCAAAGAGCTTGGCTCTTTCGTACACACTTTTACTGCCCTAGATAAAGCGCAATCGAATATGCGCAAAGTTTTCCACCCTAAGGTTTTTGGTGGGGCCGGAAGAGCCAGGAGCCATCTATCCGCCAGTGTTAACAGGGATTCATTAAGACAGAACCGAGGCTCCTACACTGGACAATCTACTTTCATGAAGCACCGCAACACCCCGGCCATCTTCCCACAACGTGGGCGGCCATGGGTTGCTCGTGGATCACGAGGCACTCGTTCAGGATGACGACCTTATGGTAAGTCCACTCATGTTTCATTCTTCCCTATGGGCAGTGGGGGGCAGACTCCTACATTTCTTCCATGCATGGTCACACATCTCATCAGATGCCTGGGTATTGAGTATATACCATAGAGTTCCTGTCCCATAAGTCCACTCATGTTTCATTCTTCCCTATGGGCAGTGGGGGGCAGACTCCTACATTTCTTCCATGCATGGTCACACATCTCATCAGATGCCTGGGTATTGAGTATATACCATAGAGTTCCTGTCCCTTCTAGTACAATTCTCCCCACCACGGGAAATTCAAGAGGCCTCCCTTGTGTCCAAGGAGGTCTTGGAATTGGCACACAAACGACCCATCAGCACTGGCAACAGATGCCTTCACCCAAGACTGGTCCTCCACAGGGAATTATGCCTTTCCTCCCTTTGCATTGATTCCCCGCTGCCTACTGCAACTACGGCGACAGATGGGAATGGTACTTGTGGCACCATTATGACCGTCCCAACCATGGTTTCCTTCCCTCTTAGAAATGACGATAGACATACCCCGCATCCTCCCACGCTTCGACTATCTGCTTTGGGACCCGGACGGTTTTCCCACCCCCTGGTCCAACAAGGTTTACTATACCTCACAGCATGGCTAATTTCAGGGAACCTTCCTCAATCGAGGGAATTTCGGAATCAACTTTCCAACTTCTCAAAGGCGCATGGGCACCTGGCACGAGACAAGCTTAGAAATCTGCTTGGAACAAATGTCGAAATTGGTGCATGGAACGGGACTTGGATCCCATATCAGCTTCTCTGACATCAACTCTTCAATTCTTAACCTCATTGTTTGAGAGCGGCAAAGCATACCGTACAGTGAACCTCTATCGATCGGCTATCTCGGCCGTACACCAAGGTATCGATGGAACACTGATAGGACGCCACCCACTGGTATGCATACTCCTACGTGGCATCAGATTTACATGACCCCCGCTACCACGCTATTCAGTACTGTAGGACGTCTCCATTATCCTCAACTTCCTCGAATCAGGGCCAGATAACGCAACAATATCCCTGAAACAATTGTCGGCAAAACTGGTTATATTCCTCTGTCTCGTATCCTGCAAAAGGGTTTCTGACGTCAGGGCTCTAGACATTACCGCACGTTTCTATACTCCAGAAGGGGTCACTTTCGATATATCCCGAAGAACGAAGACCTCAACAAAGAGAGTGACATACCCATCTTTTCCTGACAAGCCTCTAATGTGCCCGGTCAAATGCCTTCAATCCTACGAACTTCGCACCGCTGCATTAGGGGACCCAACAAAACATGAACTCTTTATCTCTTTCCAAAAAACACACTTACTGGTGTCTACCCCTACCCTGGCTCGCTGGGTCAAATGGATTATGGCTACAGCAGGAATCGACACCTCAATATTTTCATCCCACTCAGTACGAGGAGTGATGGCTTCCAAAGCCTCTTCAATGGGTTGTCGTCTTGAAGACATCTTGAAAGCAGCCGACTGGTCATCAGAATCTACCTTCTGTGATTTTTACTTTAAGCCCATACAACATTTCGCAGGAACGGTCTTCAGGCCCGTTCGCTGACTGTGGGAGGAAGACTGAAGTTCTTCTACCCCGTGTGGGCCAAAAACATTACGGACGTGTGGGTCACATCCATCATAACGGAAGGTTACAGGATAGAATTTTCCTCTCGCCCAAAATCTGCTTTCTTCAAGTAGGCATCAAACGAAGGGCCATGAGGACCTGCATTTCTACTCTCCTGGAACAGAAAGTGGTGGAAGAAGTTCCGAGACAGGAAAGGTTCCTGGGGCCCCAAAGTGTTCTTGGCCCCAAAACCCCAGGGAAAGTGGCGTCTCATCTTAAAATTGAAGGGAGTAAACTCCATGCTCGATATAAGAACATTTAAAATGGAATCTTTACAGACCATCTTGAAGTGTGTCAAAAGAGGAGACTGGATAACCTCCATAGACTTGAGGGACACCTAATACCATATCCCTATAAACCAAGACTATATGCAGTTTCTCAGGTTCTGGGCGCTAGGAAGGCACTTTCAGTTCCAGGGACTACCATTTGGCCTCAGCCTGGCGCCAAGAACGTTCTCAAAAGTTCTTGTCACTTTGATAGCCTTCATAAGGAAAAAGGTATTGAGATCTTCCATTACTTGCACGACATCCTTATTTTGGGTCCATCTCAAAGGATAGTAGCTCAGCATACGTCGGTGGCAATGAACATTCTTCACGACCACGGTTGGCTTCTGAACGTAGAGAAAAGCTCCCTGATTCCTTCACAAACTATCGTATTCCTCTGAGCAGTGATAAACACCATGTCTGCCCATGTGTTCCTGTCTCCGGAAAGGGTCACAAATATCAGAGACAAAGTAGGGAAGCTGCCTCGGCGAGAGAAGTCATGAGTCTCCTGGGTTCCTTGACATCAATAATAGGGTTAGTAAAGTGTGCCCAGTGGAAGTTTTGTCTGGTCCAGAATTGCTTTCTTCTCCAGTTCAACAGAGTGGAAACAGATTGGGAGCAGAGGATCTCTCTACCCCTGCCCGTGAGGAAAGGGTTGAACTGGTGGAAGAACAAGAAGAATCTGACAACAGGCTTCCCGTTGGAAGAGCCCCCTTGGAAGATTATTACAACAGATGCCAGTTCTTTTGGATGGGGTGCCCACTTCAGTTCCGTATGGACTCAAGGGAAGTGGACCCGAGAAGAGAGTCAGCTGTACTCAAATCTAAGAGAACTGAGAGCTGTTTACAAGGCCATCTTGGTGTTCCTACCAAGGATCTTGAATTCTTGGGTATTGATCAAAATGGACAACCGAGCAGTTGCTTCTTATGTGAACAACCAAGGTGGCACAAGAAGCAGTTTGCTCTTGAAGGAACTTGCTCCCTTGATGACAATCGCCATGACCAATCTCCAGGGTCTGAAGGCGATCTATCTTCCAGGTTCGGAGAACGTGACTGCAGATTTCCTCAGCAGGAAGGAAGTTCTTCCGGGAGAATGGAAACTTCACCCAGCAGTCTTTGCTTGGATTGCCCATCGGTGGGGCATGCCCCAGATCGACCTGATGGCGTCCTCCCAGAATCACCAAGTGGAGAATTACTTCTCCCTCCACCCGGACGGTCGGGCAGTGGGCCAGGATGCTCTCTCTCTTCCTTGGTCATTCGATCTGGGGTATGCGTTCCCTCCACTACCCATGATACCCAGGTTCTTGCGGAAGGTTTGGTCAGAAGGGAAGAAGGTTATTGCCATAATTCCAATTTGGTCTCGGAGGCCGTGGTTTCCCCTGTTGGCTATGATCAGGGGTCAAGTCCTGGGGAAAAAAGTGTGGGAACTCACCCAAGATTCCCGCCCCCCCCTTTAAAAAAAAAATTACACTCCTATGCATATAGTGCAGTGCAGGGTGTGTATAATGAATGTAGTGTGTTTGTAGTGAATGCAGAGTGTGTATAATGAATGCAGTGTGTTTTTAGTGAGTGCAGAGTGTGTATAATGAATGTAGTGTATTTGTAGTGAGTGCAGTGTGTATAATAAATGTAGTGTATTTGTAGTGAGTGCAGTGTGTATAATAAATGTAGTGTATTTGTAGTGAGTGCAGTGTGTATAGTGAATGCAGTGTGTATAGTGAATGTAGTGTTTTTGTAGTGAGTGCAGAGTGTGTATCATGAATGCAGAGTGTGTATAGTGAATGTAGTGTGTTTGTAGTGAGTGCAGAGTGTGTATAATGAATGTAGTGTGTTTGTAGTAAGTGCAAATTGTGTATAATGAATTTAGTGTGTTTGTAGTGAGTGCAGAGTGTGTACAATGAATGCAGTGTATGTAGTGTGTTTGTAGTGAATGCAGAGTGTGTATAGTGAATGTAGTGTGTAGTGAGTGCAGAATGTGCATAATAAATGAGTGTGTATAGTGAATGCAGAGGGTGTATAGTGAATGTAGTGTGTTTGTAGTGAGTGAAGAGTGTGTATAATGAATGCAGTGTGTGCGTGTGCTGGATGATGTGTGTGTGAGTGCTGGATGATGTGTGTGCTGGATGATGTGTGTGAGTGCTGGATGATGTGTGTGTGAGTGCTGGATGATGTGTGTGAGTGCTGGATGGTGTGTGAGTGTGCTGGATGATGGGTGTGAGTGTGGGTGCTGGATGATGGGTGTGTGAGTGC